TGGTGCTTCCTAGACCACTCTAGGTGGTTTCTCAGGTTTCATGGAATACTTGGTATATTGCTTCTCCCTCAGCCCCAGGGTATTCTGCATGACCTGCTGGGTGGCTGTCATCCCTAAAAAAAGTCCCTGAGTCTGTGCAGGGAGGTGCAGGATGTGGCCACGGCTGTTTCTCCAACTCCCCTAGAATGAGTACTACTGCACTATCTGGACCTGCCTGCTTCAGGACCCATCATCTCCCTTCCAACAGCCTGATGATATGGGAACTGTCCGTACTCTCACTTTACCGCAGCCTGGGAAGGTTGGATCATTTGCTTGGGATCATAAAGCTAGGCAGTGACAGAGGAAGAACATTTACTCAGGTCTATCTGATGTCAGAGATCTGCTCATAATCACTGGCACCCACCAGATCAGCCCAAGAGTGTATGGATTCTCCCTAGAGAATTTGGGTGGAGTCATGTCCCGTTACCCCACAGGCTACCATGCAAATGCCCACCTGACTTAAGGGGTAGACCAGTTATTCTCAAACTTGGCTATGCCTCAGAATGATAGAGAGGGTACATTAAAATGTAGATTGCTGGGCTCCATTGCTAGAGTTTCCCTTTCTAGGGTCTTGGGGGTGGGCCTAAGAGTGTGCATTCCTAACAAGTCCCAGGTGATGCTGCTATGGCTAGCCCAGCAACTACTCTTTGACAGCCACTGGGGTACACCAGTCCTGCTAACTGGAAAATCTGCCCAAATAGAATCGTTTTAGTGCATGCAGAATAATTACAGAGCTCTAGCTTCTAGTGCTCTTTGAATTTAGAAATTTCTTTTTAAGTAAAAGAGAACAAAGGATTCCTCAACTATAAGTGTTCTATTTCTTTAAAAAAAAAAAAAAAGTAGTCCAAAGAAAATAAGACCAAAGACTCATCTGGGTGGTAGGTCATAGGAATTGGTTAATCTCAGTGTTTTTCTCTATGTTTAAAATTTTTCAAAATAATTTTTAACATAAGGAAGGACAAGGTTTGTAAAGTGAACCTCTGGTCCAGAGTCCCAGCTTCACAGGAAACGATTTCATACCTGAAGCCTCCTCCTAGCTTACTGGGAGAGAAGTACTGATGTTTCCCAGCACCATGCTGTCCAAACATGCCACCCCTGTGAGCACAGCTCCACACTCAGCCCTGTGGAATGTTGTGAGAACAATGCCGCCACTTCAGTTTGCTTTCATTTTGTTGCTCATTTGTCTGTGGGACATTTAGATGTCTGTCCCTCCATATCTGTGTTGACGATCCATGAAGGTGAGTGCTGAGTCCTACTTGAATGATTTTGTCCAAGGCATGCCTAGCACCAAGCTGGGGGCAGGTAGGTCTTTACTGCCCAGTGTAGAGATTCAGAGGGAGAAACTCAGTTTCCTCCCTGGGAGAAATCCCTCCCATTCAGAAGTCCCCCTGGCTTCCCCAGCGCCCTCTGCTGGGGCTACTGTTAGCTCATTTGTTTCTCTCCAGTTGCTTAATTTCTTTATGAAATTGGCACCTGCAGTGTTCCAGCCAGAGGGTGTTGCTGCTTCTCCCTTCTTGTCTTTTTTAAAATGCAACTTAAGGAAACACAGTGATGGTGATTGACAGTAATAATTTTATCCTCATTCCTGCCCTTCCAGCTTCTACCGTCTCTTCCCGAGATTGTTGCAACAGCCCAGAATTGATCTCCTTGCCTCTGCCCTTGCCTCCCTTCATCTCTCCTCAGTCCAGTGGCCAGAGGGATCCTATTAAGATGTAAGGCAGATCACATCACCCCTCTGTTACAAACCCTCTAGTGGCTTCCATTTTAATTCTAGAGAAAAAGACACAGCCCTTATAAACCTGACATGACTCGGCACCGTGCCCCCCTCTCCCACACACACACCCTCCTCTCTGACCAGCTCTCCTCTTCCCTCTCCCTGAACTGCCTCCAGCTCAGCCGCAATCTCATATATGCTGGCCACACTCACTGCCCCAGGGCCTTTGCATTCACTGTGTCCTCTGCCTGGATCACTCTTCCTCCAAATATCCACACAGCTCCGTTTCTTATGTTCTTTAGGTCTACTTTATCCTTAGGTCTACTTTATGTAACTTTATCATGCAGGCTCTCCCTACAACTCTGTTGCAAAGAATAATCCCATCTTCTCGTTGTGCTCCCCATAACTTCATTTTTCTCCATGACTTCTCACTGTCTGAGGTTTGGTGTATCTTACTTGTTTGTCTCCCATATTAGAATATGAGTTCCATGAGAGGAGATTTTTCTAGTTCCTAGAAGAGTACCCCATAGTGGTACTCTAAGATTACTTACATGAATGATAGCTACATTGATTGAGTGCTTACTATATGCTATTCACTGTTCTAAACACTTTACATTTTACAGATAAGGAAATGGGCACAGGGAGATTGAGTCATGCTACCTGTAAATCTACAAAGTGGAGGGCAGCCCAGGTGGCTCAGCGATTTAGTGCTGCCTTTGGCCCAGGGCCTGATCCTGGGGACCTGGGATCCAGTCCTGCGTCGGGCTCCATGCATGGTGCCTGCTTCTCCCTCTGCCTGTGTCTCTGCCTCTGTGTGTGTGTGTCTCTCTCATGAATAAATAATAAAATTAAATCTTTTTTAAAAAATCTACAAAGTGAAGAAGATGCTTGGGTTACAGGTAAAGGTAGCACCTCTATGTTAGGGTTCTTCAGAGAAACAGGACCAATAAGGTTATTATATGTATATGAAAAGAGAGATGGATTAATTTTAAGAAATTGGCTCATATGATTATGGGGACTGGCATGTCCTAAAGCTACAAGTCAGGCACACTGGCTGGAGACCCAAGGAAGACTTGATGTAGCAGTGTTGAATCTGAAGGCTGTCTGGAGGCAGGATTACTTTCTTGGGGGACCTCAGTGTTTTCTCTTAAGGCTGATTGGATGAGACCCATCTACATCTTGCAAGGTAGTCTGCTTTACTCAGTCTGTTTTAAATGTAATCACATCTAGGGGTGCCTAGATGGCTCAGTTGGTTGAGCATCCAGGTCATGATCTGATCTCTGGGTCATGGGATCAAGCCCAATTTGGGCTCTGTGCTCAGCAAGGAGTCTGCTCAAGATTCTCTCTCCCTCTTCCTCTGCCCATCCCACTACACTCACTCTCTCTCTTTCAAATCAATCAATTAAATGTTAATGACATCTTTAAAAAAAATACCTTCACAGTGACATCTAGATGGGTGTTTGGCCAAGCACCTGGACACTATAGCCCAGCCCAGTGGCCACATGAAATGAACCATCAGCACCTGTAAGGAGGTATATGTTGGGTCAGGCTGATCTTGCACCCTTCCCCTGTAAGATACATCCTACCTGTCCTGATGGCGTAAAGAAGGTGGGGTGAGAGAGCAACCCCAAAGAGTCTGTGGTACTCGGGAGCTTCCAGTCCTAGCAGGCGTTCTCTGACTTAACGATCACCCGAGTCCTAGGATATTGTCTTCCTTCTGTGCATAGCCAGCTAAGTGGTAGAGCTCCAGCTCATCACGTCTCCTCACCCTTGTCTCCACAAAAACCCTTATCTTCTAGATAATGCATCACACATAAGAGTGGAATGGTCCTTGGTCACACCTAGGTGATGGGGCAATTGCATCTACTGAATTGGAGTCCCAGGCCTGTTACCTCTTTCAGGATGAGGGAAGGAGGGAAGGCCTGGGCCTCTGGCAGCCAGCAGCCAATGGAGACCACTCCTTGCTCCTGGCATAGCTTCTAGCAATGAGAATCTTGGAAGGGTGGGGCTGAGGAATGAGAAGACCGTGGCCCAAGTCCAGGTGTACCAGTGTCCAGCCTCATGACCAGGCAAGCTACCTAACGTCTCTGAGCCTCAGTCGCCAAATCTGTAATGACAGTATTGATAATGCCAACCTGGCCGGTTTTGATGAGAGTTAAATGAGCCCCTGCTTGTTTTTCTCCCATCTTTCAAGGCCAGAGCCCCGAGGGCTACATCAAGTATAGGCCGGTCTGGTATAGGTCCACAAAAACTGTAGACCCACACTGGTTTCAGATGCACGAGGACTGATTGGGTGTAGTGCCTCATTCCAAGCCAGTGGGAGCAGGCTGCCCATTGCCAGAAAAAGCCAGAGCCCTCTTAAGAGCCAGAGCCTTGGTTTTCCTGTGGTGTCCCCCTGGCATGATGGCCTGGGTCCCACAGAAACTTTCATGGGCTGCCATGTTCTCAGGGTTCATGCTAGGTACTCCTCAGATCTAGCAGCTATCACCATTCAGCACGGGCCTCTAAGGGCCCCTTGGGTGAGCCTCAGTCCCTGTGGTGGACGTTACATTCAGCCGTGATACAGGAGGAATGGCATGGAGGTGGGGGAGTCCTGCTTTCTAAGTTGTCACAGTAGCAATATACACAGGTGGGGGTTTGTTTCACAGTACACCTCTTCCCACTGCACCTTCCAGCTCCTGCCCCAGGAAGGAGTAAAGTGTACCAGTGGGTAGATGTACACACACACATCTATAGATCACACCATAGGTATTGTGTTATTCAACTTTGTTCCCTAATGTATCCTCTTTTTTAAGTCTGTCTACATGTACACCTATTTTTTAATCAGATACTACTTTTATCCTATTTCTCCACTTTAAATACTTCTACCATGTCATAATTATTTCTGTAATATCCATATAATGTCCCATCTTTTGGAATGTACCATAATTAACTAAATCTTCCATGCCACAAAACATTTTGTATCTTGGTGCTTCTATGGAATTATTTCCTTAGAATTCATTTTTAGAGTCCATGTGTTGTGTTGAAGGAGGTTCCAAGCATTTCTGTTGTTCTTCAGACTTATTTCTCTCCTAAAATGTGGTATCAATGTACCATGCCATGAAGAATGCCCTTTTTTTGGAGGTGTGGGGATGGGGGGATTACCATCAAACACTATTGGGGAGATAGACTATGGAGAAGAGTCAGGAAGAAGACATGTTTGCTGTGGCTGGGAAACGTGACAGGTTATTTTCTTCTGTCTCCTCAGCACAACTAGCTCCACAGCCAGTAGCTGTGACACCGAGTTTACTAAAGAAGATGAGCAGAGGCTGAAGGATTACATCCAGCAGCTCAAGAACGACAGGGCGGCGGTCAAGCTGACCATGCTGGAGCTAGAGAGTATCCACATCGATCCCCTCAGCTATGACGTTAAGCCCCGGGGGGACAGCCAGCGTCTGGACCTGGAAAATGCTGTGCTGATGCAAGAGCTGATGGCCATGAAGGTACCATGGCGGGGCGGGGGGACAGTGGAGCCCTGAGTGCATGTGCTGTGATGTCATCAGGAGGAGATAGGGAAAGGACCCTCAAAAAGCAGGTCAGCAAAGATGACAAATCAACCTGGTCCGGGTTCAGTCACTTCCCCCTGGAGGACAGCCAGAGCTGCATTTTGTAGACAGGATGGCTTTCAGTGTATCTGGGGTCCCCTGGACTGGACACAACCCCAGAGGGGGTCAGTTGCACTCTGGAGAATGCCTCAGGGTGTCTCAGCTCAGCTTTGGGACACCACAGTCTCAGATCAGATCCCTACAGGCTGGAGCAGCCTCTGTTCTTGTAAAAGGACCTCTAATCTCCAGCAGCTGATGGTGCTTCTTGGGTTAATGCTGACATTCACGTGGAGTAGGGGAGGACAGGACGAGGGCAGGTGCAGAACTTGGAGCAGAGTCCCGGTTTACTGACACCCTTGTCCTTCCGTGCCTCATGGAACCCGCCTGGATCATGACACCCTCCGGTGAGGGATGCCAGTGCTGTTCACATCGGTGCTTCCTCACAAGACCCTGGGCTGTCCACCCAGCCTGCTCAGTTCTCTGTTGGCATCTGTAAAGCAGGGGGAGCTTTGGGAAAGCTGGTGCCCATCCCTTCAGCAAGACACACCTTGCATGTTTCTGGCCAGGGGTTGCCGAGGCCTCAGCCCTACTCTGCTGAGTGCCTGCTTAGAAGACAGCTGTGGTGTGATGAAGAATATATCTGGTAGTGTTCCCCACTTCTGCTGAGAGCTTCCAAAACCCTTGTCATTTCCTGAGTGAAAGCAGTGTCTTTATTGTGCTAATGAGGCCACATCTGGGGGGACCCCTGAAAGCGGCAGCACAAGAGTTGTCACTGGAAGGATCCAGTGTGTGATTATAGGATTGGACTTTGAGCACCTTGACCTCCAGGGAGGGGAGGAACGCTTCAGATTGAGTTCCTCTGTGTGGCCAGTGATTTAACCAGCTGTGGCCAGTCATGAAAGTAAAAGCCCTGGACACCAAGGCTCAAAAAAGATCTGCTTTCAGCACTCTTCCAGGCACCCCTGTGCGCACGCCCCGCGGTAAAACTGTCGTCTTTGTTACATGCTTTCCTGAGTCTAGCAAGCTTTTGGTCCTGAGTAAGTTGTGCAAGCCCCTGAGTTGGTGAGAAGTGCAAGTGGCCTGGGGACCCCCCCCACTGCTCGTGGCTGGTAGGTGAAGTGAAGTGAAGGCAGTGTCAGAGGACCATCCTTAACCTGTGGCGTCTGCAAGAACTCCAGGAAGTTGAGATCCGAGTGTATTGTATTGTGTACCCAGGTGAAGTGGAAACAGAATAACTACTCGCCAGGAGCATGATCCTGTAGGGCTGTGAGCAGCTCTCAGCAGGACTGTGGCAGAGGTGGGCACTTGGAAGGGCTGCTCCTGCAGCCCGGCCTGCTAGCTTGGGGAGGGAGAGCTGGGAGCCATGTTCCCAAACCTGCTCTCCAAATCCCACTCTCCTGTGCACAAAGGCCTGATTTGCTCAGTCTTGGATTGTGCAGTGTCTCTGGCTGCCAGGTGTTGAGACATGAGGGAGGAGCTCTCAGGGACAGAACCCAGCTGAGGAGACCAGAGGCAGGTCTGTTGGGCCAGGTGGTCAAGGAAGTGCTGAATTAATAGCTGGTAACTGGTGTCTCCTACTGGAACCAGCACTGTCTCTGGGAGACTGGCACCCCCTCTCTGGTTAACCCACATCTGGAGAGGAAAGAGGAGCCACAGCAGTGGTCAACCCAACGCACTCGGGTCACTTGCTCAATATGTTCCTGTCCCTGGTGGCTGCTCAATGTTGAGTCTGGCTGAGTCCTAGAAAGACTTCAGATGATGGCAGCAGATTAGGAATCAGCCTTTTGCTTCTGAGCTGGCTTACCATGTCCCACCCACTCAGCTCAGACCTGACTTCTGTTCCCTCTGTGGAATCCTTATGCCACCTTGGCTGATTTCTCCTCTCATTGCCCATGAGCTGGGCATTGGGTCCATCATCACAGTGCCTTTTTCCCCAATAAGGAGCCCTGTTTGTGGTCCTTTGCACACTGCGGCCTGAGCTGTAAAGCTGCCCTCTTGTTTTGTGTTCCAATCATCATGTTTCATTTGGCTAAAGACTAAAGGATTTCCTTTTTATATTCAAGCCAACGTGTGTGATAAATTCCAGTTACTGTGGCCAGGAAAGACGTTTTTGGTGGAATAAAATAATCCCTTTGCTATTTGAAAATAAAATGTGTATACCTCATGGAAGTAGTCTAAAAGAGCAGAAATGGGGTACCTGGGTGACTCAGTTGATTAAGCTTCCAACTCTTTTTTTTTTAAGATTTTATTTATGTATTCATTAAAGGACACGCAGAGAGAGAGAGAGAGAGAGAGAGAGAGAGAGAGAGAGGCAGAGACACGGGCAGAGGGAGAAGGAGGCTCCCTGCAGGGAGTCCAATCTAGGACTCTAGGATCATACCAGGAGCCGAAGGCAGATGCTCAACCACTGAGCCACCCAGGGATCCCAGCTTCTGACTCTTGATTTTGACGCAGGTCATGATCTCAGGGTCATGAGATCGCGCCCTGCTTTGAGCTCTGCACTGTGTGGAGCTTGCTTTAAGTATCTCTCCTTTCTCTCCCCTTTTTCTTCTCTCTCTCTCTCACTCTCACTGTATCTCTCAAATTAATTCAAATTTAAAAAATAGAAGAGCAGTTATTATAAAAAACTGGGAGAGAAATAACCTATAATATGATCCAGAGGCAACCAATGCTGATCTTCTGGCTTCTTTACCTTCCTTTGAGGTTTTTTTAAAGGATACACATCAGAGTTCCCTCCCTTCCCTATGCGTTATGCTCAAGGGGATGTGCGCACCCATTCCAAAACCACTAGCAGCAGATTCTGTTGGGTTTCACCATTTCATTCTAGGATATGGTTGCTGAGAAACTCAGGTTTTCTGGGTTTTTCACTTCTTGTGCATGATCTTTAGTAAACACCTTTTAATTCCTAGATGACCTACTTGATTCCTTTTCAAATCTACTCTTCTTTTTGGAATATCCTATCTTTCCATGGTGACCCTCCTTCATCTCTTTGTTTTAGATATTTATTTTCTAGTGTTCCATCTGTTTTCTCTGATTCTCGCAAATGCTGATTCTATCTCACGTGATTTGTTTCCATTTTCTCTTTGTGTGGTTTGGGGGCAGGGTATGTACCAGCCCATCTTCAGTGGAGATTGTGTCTTCTACGGGGTCTCACGGGTCCTGGGTTTTAGATATGCCTATAGAGTGCTTCTGTACAAGGATCTGTTGGGACCCATGGGTTTCAGAGTTTTAGGACCAGTTGCATTCTTTTACATTCTTGGCTGAGGATTCCTGCTTCACATCTACATAGGACAGCTTTGTGGCTCTGATTCCTTAAAAAAGGCTCTTCTCCCATTTCCCACCCAGACCATGAGGGCTAAGTTTCCTCACCACATCTCCAAAAAGGAAGTCTTCTAGCCTTTTACTCTACGCAGTACTTTGAGAGTCCTGGTTCATGTAGGGGGTCTCTGTTCAAGCTCTCTGCCCTGCCCTTAACACAGGTGCTCAAAGCACAGGCCCCCAGGCCTTCATAGTGATCTGAAACTCTATTGGCCTGTATTGTGGCCACCTTGCTTTTCCTCTTGGGCAGAGTTCCTTCTTCATTTCTGGCACCCATGGATTCATTTTACCTTCTTTCAAGCTTGCATTTATATGTTCTGGGTGTGACGTTCCCATTAGCTCAGTATGCTGTGTTGCCAGAAACTTCAGAATCCTGCTTCTGATGGCAAAAGATGAGAAGGCCTCAGTATATGGAAACACATTTCATTCTAGTTTTATATTTCATCTTTAGGGAAGTTCTGGGTGCTGCTTTTAAGTAGTCACTGAGCACATTGCCTTCTACATGTCCAGTGCCATCACCTCTCTGCCCCCTGGCCCTGATCTGAATATTACAAGTCATAGTGGGTGCCCTCTAGGTATTTCCCTACACTGGAGAGTGAGAACATCTACACTCCAGGCCTAGCTTATCCAGAAGAACATACCAGGCCTGTGGCTTACTATCTCAAAAGGGTTAGCTCAGAGTTAACTAGAATCTGTGACCTTGGTGAATTCTTCTCAAGGCAGTGAATCAGAAAGAATTCTTTTTAAAGATTTTATTTATTTATTCATGAGAGACACAGAGAGAGAGAGGCCAAGACACAGGCAGAGGAAGAAGCAGGCTCCATGCAGGGAGCCCAACGCGGGACTTGATCCCAGAACCCTGGGATCATGACCTGAGCCAAAGGTAGACGCTCAACTGCTGAGCCACCCAGGTGCCCCTAAGAGATCATCTTTCTCAGTAAGATCACAGAGGTAGCTGGGAAGACTGATCTGGTCATATAGTGGTAGAATCACATGACCAGAGTCATGCATGGGCTCACCTTGAGGAGGGACTATAATAGCTTAGTGGTTAAGAGCCAGATAGCCTGGCTTACAATTTATGCAGTAATAGTGGGCAGGTGGATTTCCCTCTGCGTGCCTCAGTTTCCTGTCCGTGTATAGAGATGTTCGTAATGCCTCCCTCAAATGGAAAAATATTCCATGCTCATGGATTGGAAGAATTAATATTGTGAAAATGTCAATGTTACCCAGGGCAATTTACACGTTTAATGCAATCCCTATCAAAATACCATGGACTTTCTTCAGAGAGATGGAACAAATAATCTTAAGATTTGTGTGGAATCAGAAAAGACCCCGAATAGCCAGGGAATATTAAAAAAGAAAACCATAGCTGGGGGCATCACAATGCTGGATTTCAGGTTGTACTACAAAGCTGCGGTCATCAAGACAGTGTGGCACTGGCCCAAAAACAGACACATAGATCAATGGAACAGAATAGAGAATTCAGAAATGGCCCCTCAACTCTATGGTCAACTAATATTCGACAAAGCAGGAAAGACTATGCACTGGAAAAAAGACAGTCTCTTCAATAAATGGTGCTGGGAAAATTGGACATCCACATGCAGAAGAATGAAACTAGACCATTCTCTTGCACCATACACAAGGATAAACTCAAAATGGATGAAAGATCTAAATGTGAGACAAGATTCCATCAAAATCCTAGAGGAGAACACAGACAACACCCTTTTGGAACCTGGCCACAGTAACTTCTTGCAAGATACATTCATGAAGGCAAGAGAAACAAAAGCAAAAATAAACTATTGGGACTTCATCAAGATAAGAAGCTTTTGTGCAGCAAAAGAAACAGTCAACAAAACTACAAGACAACCTACAGAATGGGAGAAGATATTTGGTAATGACGTATCAGATAAAGGGCTAGTTTCCAAGATCTGTAAAGAACTTCTTAAACTCAACACCAAAGAAACAAACAATCCAATCATGAAATGGGCAAAAGAAGAGAAATCTCACAGAGGAAGATGTAGATATGGCCAACAAGCACATGAGAAAATGCTCCCCATCACTGGCCATCAGGGAAATACAAATCAAAACCACAATGAGATCCCACCTCTCACCAGTGAGAATGGGGAAAGTTAATAAGACAGGAAACAACAAATGTTGGAGAGGATGTGGAGAAAGGGAACCCTCTTACACTGTTGGTGGGAATGTGAACTGGTGCAGCCACTCTGGAAAACTGTGTGGAGGTTCCTCAAAGAGTTAAAAATAGACCTGCACTGCTGGGGATTTACCCCAAAGATACAGATGCAATGAAACGCCGGGACACCTGCATCCCGATGTTTCTAGCAGCAATGTCCACAATAGCCAAACTGTGGAAGGAGCCTCGGTGTCCATCAAAAGATGAATGGAGGGGATCCCTGGGTGGCTCAGCGGTTTAGTGCCTGCCTTTGGCCCAGGGTGTGATCCTGGAGTCCGGGATCAGGTCCCACATCAGGCTTCCTGCATGGAGCTTGCTTCTCCCTCTGCCTGTGTCTCTGCCTCTCTCTGTGTCTCTCATGAATAAATAAATAAAATATTAAAAAAAAAAGATGAATGGATAAAGAAGATGTGCTCTATGTATACAATGGAATATTCCTCAGCCATTAGAAATGACAAATACCCACCATTTGCTTCGATGTGGATGGAACTGGAGGGTATTATGCTGAGTGAAATAAGTCAATCGGAGAAGGACAAACATTATATGGTCTCCTTCATTTGGGAATATAAAACATAGTGAAAGGGAATAAAGGGGGAAGGAGAAAAAATGAGTGGGGAATATCAGAAAGGGAGACAGAACATGAGAGACTCCTAACTCTGGGAAACGAACTAGGGGTGGTGGCAGGGGAGGAGGGTGGGGGGTGGGGGTGACTAGGTGATGGGCACTGAGGGGGGCACTTGATGGGATGAGCATTGGGTGTTATTCTATATGTTGGCAAATTGAACTCCAATAAAAAAAAATGTCTCCCTCAAGTTGGAATAATTAAATGATGTAAGCATCTAATACAGTGTTACATGCTCAGTAAATGCTGGTGGCTATTGTTATCTGGCTCCTGGTCCCAAGCCAGCATTTTCCAGTTTTGGTGTTACTTCTTACTCACTTGCCCCCAGAAAACTCTAGTTGGAGTTCTCTAAGACCCTTTGAGGAGTTTATCTGATGAGCAGTCACCTGTGAAGGACTCTGTTTCCATTGATGTCATTTGGGCCTCCTGAAGTAGATTAAAAAGCTGAGATGATACCCTTGCTATGGGTGCACCCCACTCACCTGGCTCAGCCGTGGGGTGCCAAGGGGCCACTGGGGAGGGTTGAGTATGTGGATTGAGCCCATGGAAAAGGAAAAAGGAAATGGGAATCAAAAGGGAGCTGGTCAGACACAGCATTGTGTGGACCATCCCCCTTCCCAACCTCTTTGACTGATAGAGCATGGCCTACACATGCCGGGAAACCAGTTTCCAACAGAGACAGGTGTGCTCATTGAGGGTGGCAAGGAGTGGCGGGGGAGGTGTGTTCTGGTTGTTGTAACAGTCTCTCTCTTACAGTGAACCAAGCCTGCTTGCCTGTAGCTCCCCTTTGTTTATCTCCGTTCTGGTCCAAAGAGTGACAGAGCACAGGGCTTTGTCCACACATCAGTCCTTTAGATGGCAGAGACAGCTGCTTGTCTCCTTCCTCCCCAGCATCTTGTCCCACCTGCGAAGTGGTAACCCCACTGCAGGTGTGTGTGTCACAGTCTCAGACCCCTCGCCATGTGCCTGCTTTTCCATGTGTGGTTCTGCTCTCACTGCACAGGGACCTCATAGCATCTGTGCTCCGCAGGAGGAGATGGCCGAGCTGAAGGCTCAGCTCTACCTACTGGAGAAGGAGAAGAAGGCCCTGGAGCTGAAGCTGAGCACGCGGGAGGCCCAGGAGCAGGCCTACCTGGTACATATTGAGCACTTGAAGTCCGAAGTGGAGGAACAGAAGGAGCAGCGCACACGCTCACTGAGCTCCACCAGCAGCGGGGGCAAAGACAAGCCTGGCAAGGTAGGAGCTGGGACTCGGGGACCCCCAGCCTCTGCCCTTACCTCCCACCTGGTCACCACCACCACCCCTCCTGCCCCACAGCCTCAATTTCCTTATTTGCATGGGAACTGCAAGCCTTTCTAGATACCTTTTTTTTTTAAGGTTTTATTTATTTATTCATAAGAGACACGCAGAGAGAGGCAGAGACACAGGCAGGGGGAGAAGCAGGCTCCCTGCGGGGAGACTGATATGGGACTTGATCCCAGGATACTGGGATCATGCCCTGAGCCAAAGCAGACGCTTAACCACTGAGCCACCCAGGTTTTCCCCTTTCTAGATATCTTAAAGAAGGTAACATTTGAGTGCAAAGAAACCAAACCCACTTTAAAAAAATCCCACTTTAGATACTAGTTAAAGCATTTTCCTGTGCCACAGTCTGATCCAGGGAGTCACCTGTGTTGTCGCCCAGTGACCTGACGCCGGCCTGCCTCCTTGGCCCCCCTGCCTGGCAAGGTGACCCATCGCCTGTGGCCTGCTGGTCATATCTGTGCTGATGATTGCGTTTGTTGGCCTCCTATGAATCTCAGCTCTAAGGAGGAGGTGTCCCCATTTATGCGAGGGAAATAAGGCCTACAAGAGACGAGAGGGTCTTGCTGCTAATAAATGGCAGAATCGGGATTTAACCCCAGTTTGGCTAACCGCCGTCCTTGTCTCATTCATGCTGGCACCTCAGCTTCTGTTGGCATTTCAAATGTCAGGCACGGGGGAAGGAGGAAGCCTCCGAGGCAGATGAGGAAGAAGGCAGGCCCTGGATCAGACACAGTATGTCCCAGAGCGTGGGCTGACAGGTGATGTCATCTTGTCGTCTCACACTCCCATGAGCCCAGAAGTCTTTTTCTGAAATATTCAGGACCCAGAAGAATTACATCCCTTGTCCCAGGGTACTGACATTCTGTACTCTGCATCATACTTCCTGTTCCTAATAAATGCTAGCTTCTCCTGACCCCAGTTTGTTTCCAGCCCAGGATCCAGGGCACACGCTGACTTGCCTATCTCAGGAGTGGCTTCTTACAGCCCAAAGGAGTCTCTGGGAGAGTTTCATACCTGTAAAGGATGCGACTTGCTGATTGGTGTGGCAGTTAGTAGTCATTCCCCAAACAGCTGAGAACTGCAGAACGTGCTTCTCAAAGGTCCACAGCTACACTCTACCTCGCACTAGCAGAGGAATTAAGGGAGTTCACAGTCATGGCACCCAACTGGGCCATCTCTCCCAAGACCTGGCTACTCATTCATCATCCATTCATGTGATAGGTGGGAGCTGGTCCCGATGAGGTGCTAGAGGCAGCTCCAGGAGTTTCTGTTCCAGAGAGAGGAACACTGATGGGGAAACAGAGGATTTGTCAAACAGTGACCTAAAACCAAGGATCAATTCCTAGCACGATGGGAGGCCACGGGCCCAAGACAGAGCCCAGATGTGGAGATCTGGGATAGGTTTCCTGGATTCAGAGCCAGTAGAGTGTGGCAGCCAGCCTGATGAAGAGGGTTGAGGCAGAGAAGTCAGTCCCCTGTAAGCCAATAGAATGCCAAGAGCAAAGACCCAGGGGGAAGAGGAATTGGTACATTGGCTAAAGAGGTCAGGTGGCTGTGTTGTCCTGAGGACAATGAGAAATCACTGAAGGCTCTGCAGCAGGGCATGATGTGCCCCAGTCTGGGCTTAGGAGAGGTCACTGTGAGAGTGAAACCATGAAACCATCTGTCCCCAGCCAGAGGAGCCCAGGTGGGCAGCAGTCTATGAAGAGTTTCATGTGGTAATATCTGGGGCTCAAGATAATGGGGTTTCCCCTTCCATGCCAACACCTTAAAAGTCTTTGTCTAGCCATTTGAGTCTGCTAGCAGTCTCTCTGGGACAGAGCTCCAGTGTGTTCTTAGGGTGTGGTAGAAATGGACTCACTGAGCTCTTGCCAGAAGGCCCACAAGCTGAGCATTTTCTCCTAGTTCTTGGTGTTTATTTTGACTGGGGGAAACACTGTGTTTTGTGGAATGACTTCAAAGTACAGAAATATTTTTTTTTAAGATTTTATTTATTTATTCATGAGAGAGAGAGAGAGAGAGACAGACAGACACACAGGCAGAGGGAGGAGCCAGCTCCATGCAGGGAGCCCAATGTGGGACTCGATCCCGGGTCTCCAGGATCACACCCTGGGCTGAAGGTGGTGCTAAAACCACTGAGCCACCTGGGCTGCCCCAAAGTACAGAAATCTAATGGAAAAAGCCAGATGGTTTGATTTCCTTTTTTTTTTTTTTTTTACATTCAAGTAAGAAGCTTTCTAAGAGTACCTTGTGGTATTTAAGTAATGAAATTATTGTAAGCTGATTATCCTGTCTTTCAAATATCAGGTCCATCTATTAGTTCAATGAAATCTCCCTTCTGGGCTATTCATTTCATCTTGTCTATCAGTAAATGAGGCAGGCAGTCTGTATGTAGGAGGGGTTGCCAAACTGTGAAGAGCCAGAAGCCATTATCTTACAGCTTTTGGGTCACACAGACTCCTCTGCAAGTACATAACTTTGCTGTTCTAGACCTGCAGCATGAACACATAGTGTAGACACAAAGAGGTGTGGGCTGTGTTCTAACAACACTTAATTTATGGACACTGAAATTTCATAGCATTTGTACTCATCACAAAATATTCTTTTTTTCATGATTTTTTAAAATAGAAAAACAATACTTAGCCTTTAGGCCTTATGGAAACAGGTGGCAGGCAAGGTTTGGATGTAGGACATCCACTGTGGCTCTACAGGGTGGATGTTGTGCTGCCTTTAAAACTTCCCTCCAGCTAACAAGCTGGGTCCCGAGTCTTACCCAGGCTGCTTTCAGCTTTGCAGTTCTTGTCTCTATGCAGTGGATCCTACCAGACATGTTCAATGAGAGGCACCAGGTGAGACAAAGCCGCCCTTTAAGGACTCTTATGAAATGTTAACATCATATGGGAGCTGATGCATAAAGAAAAGGGAGAGGGCATTAGGGTCAAAACAGATGCCAGGGACCTGTGGAAGAGGCTTGGGTCTGCAGGACCAAGACAGAGAAGGGTGGGGAGTGTAGACAGAGGACACAGCAGAGAGAGGTGTGCAGAGGCTGGCAGTGCTGCTGCATAGAGCCCTGGGTGTAGTCCTCCTGTACCAGAGTGGGCTGAGAGAGACCCTGTGACCTCCTGTCATCTGGACTTCTGGCACTCACTTTATACTTCCTTGTGGTTCTAATCCCATCGAGATACAACTTTCTGTTTATATTCCATCTTCTGCGATGGACCACAAGCTTTTTATTCTCAAGCCTGGGTTGTTGAAGATCTCAGCACGTGTTTGCTGGGCAAGTGGTCAGATGAGCACCCTTTGGGCCACTGGATTATGCAGCACAGCCATTGCCCTCTGTCTGCACAGACGGGGAAAGTAGAGTACTCCAATGTTGATGATGGTTGCTTTATGAGTAGTCCGGATTCAGTTTAGGATTTAAGAGTTCTGGGATGCCTGGATGGCTCAGAGGTTTAGTGCCTGCCTTTGGCCCAAGGTGTGATCCTGAAGCCCCGGGATCGAGTTCCATGTCAGGCTCCCTGCATGGAGCCTGCTTCTCCCTCTGCCTATGTCTCTGCCTCTCTCTCTTCTCTCTCTCTCTCTCTCTTTCATGAATAAACAAATAAAATCTTTAAAAAAAAATCTCCTTGTTTAAAAAGAAAAGGATTTAAGAGTTCTGGCTCTGACACTTCCTCATCCATAAAATGAAATGATTGGGTTTAGATGACATCAAAATTCCTGTCTAAGGTTAGATGTGAGTGGGATCACAACTGAAATGAATGTAACTTGTCATCAAGTTACAAGTATAATTACTTCAATTAAAAAAAAATGGGGTCTTCTGAGGCTCAGTCAGTTAAAGCCTCCAACTCTTGCTTTGGGCTCAGGTCATGATCTCAGGAGCCCTGCATCAGGCTCCACACTCCACACAATCCCACAGAGGGATTCTCTCTCTCCCTCCGCCCTGCCCCTCCTCCTCCCTCTGCCCCACTACCCCACCCACCCCACCCTCCCCAGTCTCTCTTTCTCTTCTCTCTTTTAAAAAATTCACACACAGAGGGTGCACATCTCTTTTCTTCCCTTTTTCCTGGGTTTTCTAGAAGATTACACTGAACCCACTAAAGCTCCTAAATCTAGAAAAGATTGATCTTCTCCCAAGAAGTGGGTGGGGGGAAGGGACAAAGACACTCAGGTGTATTTCCTACTTATCTTTTATGAATCACAAGCTTAACCCAGTGGTGAAGAGCACAGATCTGTAGCCAGCTGAGTTGGGTTTGAATCCTGGTTCCACCATGTCCTAGCTGATGACTTGGGGCAACATAACTACCCTGTGCCTTAGTTTTCTCCTTAGTAAATGGGGATAATGATAGTATTTGCCTCAAAGGGTCACCATGATGATCAAGTCAGGGAGGACATGTGTGGAGTGCTCAGAGCATACTGGGAGTCCCCATTACCCACCAGCCGGCCTACAAAAGTCCTGATAAGTGGAGCAGAGCTGTCTTACACTTCCAAGGTGCACTCAGGGTTGGCCCCAGGGCTAACCAGAATGTGTCTGCTGTCCACAGGAATGTGCTGATGCTGCCTCTCCAGCTCTGTCACTGGCTGAACTAAGGACAACGTGTAGCGACAGCGAGCTGCCTGCGGAGTTCGCCAGCGCCATCCGTAGGTAAGCACCAGTCCCACGGCCCTGGTGAGCAATGCATTCCCACTTCTCTTGGCTGCCCATGTCAGCTCTTTGTGGGTCATCACAGGGAAGGAGCAGGGGTTGATATGCTCTACTTTTCCCCGGGCCTGGGAGGATCAACGTAAGGAAGAGGCCCTGCTGGTGCCAGGCTTGTTGAAAGGGAGTGACGGGGAGAGCATATAGGCAGTCGTTTCACCTGCAAGTAGAAGATGTCTCACTCTTTGCTTTTCTGTCATGCTCTTGCATTGACTAGAACTTCAGGACAGTGTTAAATGGTGATGATCCAACAGTCATCTCTGTCTCATACCCGACTAGAACTTCAGGACAGTGTTAAATGGTGATGATCCAACAGTCATCTCTGTCTCATACCCAACTTGGTGGCAACAGTTCCTTTCAACATCACTGGCTCTTCCCAATCAGAAGGCCTATGTGTGTATTTATTTAGCCCTGGACATTTTTCCTCTAGTGTCAGTGTTTCTTCCCCTCCCTTCTTCCTTTTCTTCTGCAAGGAGAAACACACTGACCCACCCGGATCTGTCTCCCCCATCATAATTTGCATCATCCCACCATCCTTTTGTAACGCTGTCCAGTAGGCACAGAATGTAAGCCACCTGGGAGATTTCACATTCTCTAGTGGTCAAATTCAAAAAGTAAAAGGAAGGTGACTGGGTGGTTCAGTCGGTTAAGCGTCTGACTCTTCATCTCAGCTCAGGTCTTGATCTCTAGGTTGTGAGTTCAGGGCCCTGCGTTGGGCTCCATGCTAGTAATGGAGCCTACTTTAAAAAAAAAAAAAAAAAGTAAAAAGAAAGTGGTAAATCCACTCTAATTTATTTTATTTACCCAGTGTATCCAAAATACCATTTCAATATGTAATCAGTATTTTTTTTAAAAAATACTGTATTTTAAACAGTATTTTATACTTATGTATCTAACAGTATCTTATACTGATGTATAAGATCGTTTTTCTTCCTTCCCCTCATTTTTCTTCTTCCCTAAGTCTTTAAATCTGGTATGTATTTTACACTTACAATACATCTCAGATTAAACCAGTTAACATTTCAAATGTATAGGAGCTCACGTAGCTATTCTGGAAAGGTTCTTTGTCTCATCTTTCCAGCCCACGAATTCATTCCCAGCTATATCCATTGTGGTGTGTAGCTTCTATGTTGAGTTTTTTCATTTTGGTGATGAAATCTATCCCTCTTTTTTAACAAGATGAGGCTATCTGAGGATATTTATTACATATATTCTAAAAATGTTCTTCTGTTTGCTGTATTAACTCTGTTTTCTTACATGTGAGTTCTTTTTAGAGTTGAGTTTTGTGACTTTTGGTTTGGCGTCACAAGCCCAACTTTTGGGCTTCCTGTCCTGCTGGCTGATGACAACCTCTCTATGCATATGGGCCCAAGTGTCTGGTCCCCTCCTGCTTGCATGGCTGGCACCTTTGGTTGGATCACCTCTGAATCCCCTTCCTCCTTTCATAGCAGCTTTCTTCTCTGTGCATCTTGAGTTGTGGTTTCCCTTTTCAAGAAGAATAAAAATCTACCTTTTATTTTTTATGATTGCTCATGGTTTCGGGTATACAAAGAACACTCCTTGCTTTCCTGACATGCTTGAGGATATTTAAAAATGGGTTTCCCATTATTTCTGGGGATTTGGAGTAGGAGAAGCCAGCTACAGTAGCCACTCAGTCTGCTGTCCTGATGCAGCTGGGCCAGTTTGTTACAGTGTGGCCTCCAAGCTGGGGATGGATGGAAGGCTGCCTTGTGGGGGGAACTTCACTGCCTTCCTGATTTACTCACTGTCCCTTTGTGTCTTTCCTTCCAAGTTGTAATAACTCTGTTTTTACATTGCCAGCACCTCTGGCCATGAGGTTAAGTTGTAATTGCTTGGTTTGAGGCGGGAAGAGAAAAGTAGCCCAGGGAAAATACCTCAACAAACCCTAATGACTGTGCCAGAAACCTGGATGCAAATCTACTCCCCGCGTCCAACTGGGAGCCGTTTGGATATTGTATCAGTAAATTAAGCCCCTCATTTTTTCAAATTCCCCAAACCCCCAAGGCCTTTGCTGGCACAAGTAGGATGCAGGATTCCACCGACGAAACAGAGAGACCACATTAGTTCGGGCTTCCAGTAAGTTGGTGAGTGTGGATTTCTGATCCAGTCCTGGAGAGATGGAGCCCAGAAAGAACCCACAGGGCTACAGGAGAAAGAAAAATAACATCCTTATATTGTAAATATAGCTGAGGAACTGGAATAATCATTTCATGAGGGCACATAATTCAGACACCTGAGAGCTGAGGTCTGGGAGTGTTTTTATGTTTAAAAATCAAGTGGAAACTAACGTCTTGGAAGGTCTTAAATCACTACCAAACTGTGGTTGGAGTCTGTTGAGGGAATCTGCCCTGTATTTTCAGAAATAGTTCCTCCCTTAGAAAAAGATGGTTGCAAACACCAAAGTTGTAGGCCCAGGTATCCAGGCTGCAAAGAGCACGAGTGGAGAGGAGTTTTGGGAACAGGCTCAGCAGTGGCCTTTTCTGGAGGAGAAACTCCTCTGGAAGGTGCCTTGTGGCATCCTGGTGGCTGGTTCTAGGTCATGGTCCTGTCCCAGGCAAGCCTCCCCGCTGGCTACTTTGCCGGGCTTTGGCTTCCACCAGTCCTTTGCAGCCCAGCAACGCCCTCCCTTCTGCTTGGAAACAAACCAGGACTCCAGACAATCACACATTTACTGCGTGCCTCCCATCTGGTCTGATTCCATTCCCTCCACTTGCATGAACATTACTGCACTTTACTGGCTCCAGTGTTACCATCAAACCCATCTGGATGACCAGGTTTCCAGGCTCGCACAGGACAGGTTTTCTTACTGAGGCACCTGATCTTTGCTGTGTTCTGCACAAGATGCATGCCACAAAACCCTTCTTCACCTCAAATCCCTCTCTTGCTCTTAGTCTACTGTTTCCATGAATGACCTTTCCAGCAGGGAAGTGAACTGTAAAGATGCAGCTGAGAGTGTATTTTCAGAAATGAGTCGTCTTTGTAGTGACATGGTGTTTGTGTAGCCTGCCTTCGGGACCTAGCACAGCTGAGAGGAGAGGCTGTTTTATCTCCATCATATTCTGGGGAGGCAGTGAGGAGCAGGTGTTGTTCTCTGTATGATGAGGGTGGCATGGGAACGGGCACAGCAAGGCTGAATAGTCACATAGGGAAGCAGTGGGGACATTGCTTGCCTTCACCTTCTCTGCTGGACCCCCGCATGCTAGCACAGGTGCTTACAGATGGGTATGAGCTGAGCCCGCTCGTGTGGGCTCACCTGAACACTCAGTCCACTGTAGTGTGCTTGGTGTGGGCAGATGGGAACCTTTGCACCCCTAGTACATGACCACTCATCTGTCTACCAGATGCCGAGGGGAAGTGAACTGCCAGGGGTCAGGAGGCAAACTTCCTCTAACACACAGACCCCGGGTCATACTGGTTAAAAGGTAGGGATGCTGGACTCTTCAGTGCTAGAGAACAAGAAAGAGTTGGGAAGGGGGCTGGTGGGATGCCCGGGTGGCTCAGTGGTTGAGCGTCTGCCTTTGGCTCAGGGCATGATCCCAGGTCTTGGGATTGAGTCCCACAGACTCTGCCTACGCCTCTGCCTCTCTCTTTGTGTCTATCATGAATAAGTAAAATCTTAAAAAAAAAAAAAAAAAAAAGGAAGGGGGCTGGTGATGTGGTGACCACCTCAGATGATTCCACATCCATGTGGCAGGATCCCACTTGGTAGGAGATCAGGCCCTGGCTCCAGCTCCACCATGGCCACCTGTACCTACCAGCCACCCTGCTGCTGCAGGAGGCTCGAGGCATTCAGTCCCAGGCCCACCAGGATCATTCTGTAAAATGCTGCCTTTACACATGAAAGTGGCCACTCTGTCCAGGGACCAGATGTGCCTGACTTGTCAGGCAAAGGATTGCAGAGGCCTCTTTTTCTCTCTTTGATGAGTAACAAGCCACTGCTGTTTGGAGAGAGGCTGTGTGTCTTATCCCTGCGAGGAGACATCTGGGGCAAGTGGGCCTCACCTGACTGGTGTGGTCATGAGACATCAGCTCTCGGGGACCCAGATGTGCCCTATTGGGAGGGGAGCTGGCCCACACAGGAACAGGCAGGTGCAGGAGGCAGGGTCTCAGAGTTCACAGACAGAATGGGAAGCCTCCCATTTCCCCTTCCCTGGCCCACAGACCTGCACCAGCATGCAAGTCACTCATGAGGCAGAGACCTCAAGGACAGACCTTGACACATCTACCAGGAGGAAGAACACAATAGTCAAGAAGAGATGTTTCACAGCAGGGTGACCAGTCACTCAAACTGGAGTTGGTTGAGAACAGGCAAGCTAGCCAGAGAAGATTGCTGTGTAGGGACCTGGTTTGAGGCAGGAGTCTCCCAAGCACATCCGTGTGCTCCTGAGAAGGCCTCAGTAATAGGGGAAGTCCTGCAGCCACACCAAGTGACTTTGTAAGGTATAAATCTGATGGTTACCCTGGATTAGTGTTCTGTTGCTGTGTTACAAATCACCACAAGCTTAGTGGCTTAAAACAACACCCATTTAGTAGCTTACAGCATCCTGTGACTGTGGGTCAGAAGCTGGGCACCGCATGACTGGCTTCTCTGCTTAGGGCCATGTTCTCATCTGAAGCTCCACTTGCTGGCTGTTGACCCGTGGGAACTTGGCCCCACGAGGTCTCTGACATGCCTTTCTCACCACCCCTCCCATCCTGAGAGTCAGCAAGGAGAACCTCCCACTCATCAGATCCCCTGCCAGCTTTAAATCTCTTCTCAGTAGAGCCCAGCGCCTTTTAAGGGCTCACCTAACTAGGTCAGGTCTACCCAGAATAATCTCCTTATTTTAAAATCAGCTGTTTGGGACCTTAATTTTATCTGCAAAATGCTAGTAGTACTGCCCTCCAGGGGTTGTTGAGGGCAAGTGGAGGACCAGGAAAGGGAG